AAGAAATCACGCTGTAAAACCCAAGATTTATCTATGTATGGTCGTCCCGATTGTTAAGGAACGCTGGAAAACCTGAAATTTATCTCAGAATTTATGGGCGTCCCGATTATTGCAGTGCATAAAAACGTTGAAAAAATAAAGAAATCATACTGCCAAACCCGAAATTTATGTATTTATAGTCTTCCCGATTGTTGCAGTGCATAAAACGTTGAAAAATAAAGAAATCATGCTGTCAAACCAGAAATTTATCTATTTATGGGCTCTCAATTGTTGCCGTGGATAAACTATGAACGTTGAAAAAACGAAGAAATCATAGTGCCAAACTCGAAACCTATATCTATTTATATGTTCGTCCGGACTGTTGCGGTGCATGAAAATGTTGAAAAAATATAGAAATTATGCTGGTTGAAAAGTGAAGAAATCATGGGCCCGAACGCGAAATTTATCCTATATTCTCACTGGGAGTTTTGGCAGACAATGCCACTTTGTCTACCCAAAGCTTAACAAACTCCTTAATGGCATTCAGTTTATCACTCAAGCGAGCAGGCCTGTATAAAATAGGGCAGAAACAGGGTTTTTTCACAGTTTTGCTACGAAAGCCAGCCAGCAGACTTAGGGAGCAATGCATCCCTTTTTCCCCCGTGTTTGTGCAGATGTGCTGTTTATATCCCTTTAGCTGCAGATGTATATATCCCTTTCTTCCGCGTGTTTGTGCAGATGTGCTGTTTAGGGCGTTCTCGCCATGTATACTGTCTCCTTTAGACCGTCCTATTTAGTCATTAGCGACCTTTAGAAATCAAGACAGTGTTTGCCGAGACGGCTTTTATCACGCAGAGTGGACTGGGTAATGAGTTGTGCGCATGCGCAGCTAGCATTGCTTCACCGTCCTGGTTTGTTGACAACGTGGATTACTCGGTTTTGCCGTTATCTGGACAACGTGATGTCTTTTGAGCAAGAAAACGCGGATATTAACGTTAATATAAGGCGAAAGGGAAACGAGCGTAAGTGCTTCTGGAATGTGTAACACTTATTATTCCGGTACGTTTTTCATAATATTTGCTTTATATGTACTTTGATGAACTGTTTGTCTTTTACATAATACACGATGACAGGTCGCCATTTCACTGGACAGACCATAGGCGGCCCAGAACTGATCTCGCTCGCTAATCTCGCTGTCGCTGACCTTGCGCGACGCTCATGTTGTCTGAACAGTCTTATATTATGACAAGGTAGGCAACCCTCACGCCAAATAAGCTAAAAACGCACGGCGGTTGACTCAAACACCTTCACAAAACCGCAAATATTTCGTAAAAATATTGCGAATAAGAAAAAAAAGTACAACACATTAAACTTGAATAATTTTACTATATTTATACTATATTTTAGCATTCAAATGTATTCCTATGCATGTATAAAACGTGAATGTTTTTTGGGTTTCTGGCAAATATATTACAAAACCTATGCTGGGGACACCTTGCCTATACCTTCGTCATAATTTTAAATTGAAAATAGAAAGCTGATTGGCTCTTTTTAAACGACAGCCAATCAGCTTTCTATTTTCAATTTTAAAAATATGACGAAGGTATAGGCAAGGTGTCCCCAGCATAGGTTTTGAAATATATTTGCCAGAAACCCAAAAAACATTCACGTTTTACATGCATAGGAATACATTTGAATGCTAAAAATATAGTATAAATGTAGTAAAATTATTCAAGTTTAATGTCAGAGGAGGTTGGACAGCTGTCACAGAATTTCTCGACCAATGAGATTGCGCTATTTTCCAAGCATGCTTGCGAAATTTTGAGCGAGAAAATTTACATAAGACAGAGAAACATAAAAATATTGAGTATATTTTTTAAAGTTTACTGATTAAAACGCATATTTTTTGAAAAAGATTCATTGGACTGGCGATATCTGTCGAGATTATCGAGGTAAGCGTTACTTTTTAAGTCGATTTTTATAACTGAAGTTGGTCGGGTCGTTCCGAAGTGATGAGTCATGTGCTTGTCTGTTTACAATTTTCAAAGTTGAAAATCTCGAATTCCTGTGGTTCGATTTTTGAGATTTTTGTAAGAATGAAGTTAAGTATGTAAAAAAAAATCGGCTGGATCGACCCCTTGCGACCCCACACCATTTCCGAGATATCGGGCTTTGAATTTATCACTCTTGTTTTGAGATGTTCAAAATAGCGCATTTCGGGTCAATGGGATATTTCCCTTTCAAATATTGTTTAACTACATAATTTGTAATATTAATGTAAATTTTATTTGTATTCATGGTTTAACTTCCTTAGTTATTAACATTTAGACGGGAAAATAGTATTTTTTTGTATTTTATATAGATTTCATTTTTGGCAGTGACGACTCCTATGCTCATTCGCTAACGCCTAGCGTTTCGGTAAGTGCACATTGCGCAATTTCGGGGTTGAATAGAATATTTTTCTCTTTTGTGTAGGTCAGTATGGCTGAGGCCCAAAAAAGGGTACACGATCCTCCAACTGGGCAAACCCCTGGAAAAAGGCAACCAAAACTAAGATCTACATCTGGAAAGTTTTTGAAGAGATCCCTGTTTCAATCAGCTACAGATAAATTAGAGAACAGGACAGCGGAAAAAAATACAAAGGTAACAGCTGGAAATATCTTTACTCGCATAATAATGTAGGACTCTTTTGGATTGTAAATATGAAAGTCTATTGACACAAGCTATTTATGTATGGACCTTTGCTTATTCTACATAGATTAATACAACATGGAGTGAAGAAGAATTGTCAGCATTGGTTGAGTATATTCCCTTTACTATTTCCTGATGAAGATTCCACTTGTGAATGGCCACTTTAAGGATGAAGAATTTTGGAGGGAATGTGCTAATGGTGTCACCTGTGTTAACATTGACAAGGAGCGATCTGGTAAAGGATCATTTTAGACTATTTACCTCCTTTAAATTAGTTGTCCAGGAAATCACTGCCACTTTGTCATTTGTTTATTCCTAATTTTTCATACATATGAATAGTAAGAGACATTATTTAATGTATTGCAATGATATCCCTATCCCTTTTTGCAATTATAAGGACTTCATGTAGAAGAGTTGTACAGCGATTCTTGAAGGAAAAGTTCAAAACAATTGCTGATGCTGAAGAAGCTTATGGAATTTGCTATTTTGGTGAAAAGGAGGCAAAGTGTAGGTGACGCTGAAAAATTGCTGTCACCTGCTGTAGCTAAGTGGCTGAAAGCTAACGGTTTTTTGAGTGAAGGTAGATTTGTAGAGATTGTGTCAAACTGGCATAAGGCAAGTGGTGGTCGTGGTCTAACGGAAACAGAACGTTCAAAAAACAACCTGGCCATGCTGGATTATCTGCTAGAAGACTGGATGCCATGGTACAAGGATTTAAGGGACTACTCTACAATGGATGTTAACAGGTACAGTACATATGTCAGATCATATTGTATGGACATATTTAATGTATGTGTTTATAACTTTTAGACCGATCAAAGGAGTTGGTGGATTCACCAGAGAAGTTGTGGTTGCATTAACAACAAATATTGAAAGTCAGGTTTGTTTGTTTTTGTTATGGTGATGCTTTTCGATCTTGGAGCCTAGTAATTTTAATCATCACTGTTTTTTTGTAGGAGTTTAGACGTCGATATGGTATTGAAAAAGGGCTTCCTCCTGAACACCCACGGGCAGGATCAACAGATGATGTTGAAGGCATCTTTGCTTCTTTACATGGATTACTGGGACCGATTTTTGATGAGAAGGATTTTCATGATGCTTTTCCAAAAGTTATTAGTGAATATACAAAGAAGTGTGATCCTGATCTGCCATTTTACTATTACACTGGATCCAATGATAGATACAATGATGGATGCTTGCAATCTTTTAACATACCCTCTAGTAGTGGGAAAGAACGTCTAGATCGTGTCTGTATTTCAAGGCGAGCTGACCCTGGAGTATTTGTTGCCAACAGAGCTGTAATCCCACAACGTGGTCAATTGAGTGTTAGATCAGCACATTTCAAACAACCAGAAGGCTTACCACCACCACCACCTTCACAAAATTGATAAATATGAAACATATTGTGTGATTATATGTTTTCACTTCTTCAGTAAAATAAACTGACATTTTATATTGGTTCTGTTCTTTAGATGCTTGTTGATGTTTACAGTTAGTGTGAGTTAAGATCTGCATTACTAAGCCATTCTGTGTTAGAACTGGCAATATTTATGTATATTAGGTTGATTGAAAAGCTAAAGGCATGAACACCTTATCTAGTACAATTGATCTTCAAGTTTGCATGAATTGTAAATGCTATTAGCATAGAAACAATAGCATGAAACAAAAAACAATGGTGTGTGTATGCAGGTTTTTACTTTTTTGAACATCATGTAAATATATGTATAAATGCAAAATCTTGGCTGTTTTGTCAAGGCAATTTTACTTACAATATTTTATAACCATCATAAAATTTGATGAGTTTATTTATTTGTTCATCAATAAATACAGATTTACATATTTATACCATGTATTGTATGAATATTTTTCTAATTTTCTTAATACTGCAAGGGTTTGTATGAAATATCACATGACAGTGAAGTGCTTTGGTTATAGACAATAGGTTTTGAGGATATAAAATAGAAAGCCTGGTTTCCATACAACATTGTCAGGGTGTTGTGTTAACCATTAAGAAAAATATCTATCATTATTAGTTATTATGCAACAACTTGATTGTCATATGGAAACCAGACTAAAAACAAGTTGATGGCAAAAATGCTGGAAAAATCTACATAGGTTAGCCAATGGAAATAATTGCAGAAATTCACAACTTGCAAACCGTGGTTCTTATGAAATTATATGTCAACGTACACTCATACTAGCCCTTACAATCTGACCATCCCATTCACCACGCCTCTTTATCCAGATTCTTGGATAAAATCCTATTTTTAAAAAGTTAACCCGAAACTTGATGTGTTCAACATAGACGTCTAGTATATCTCCTGCTGCAATCAGTGGATGTACTTGCAATGTTCAGAAGCTATATATCCAACATTTTCCCATTGAGTTCCATAATGAAGATCAATAGCAATTGCATTTTGGTTCCGAGGATTCTCCGGCTCTGGTCTTAGTCTAACATTTACTGATTCATTATATTCAAGGGAAAGATATGCCTGTTCCAGATGATGTTGGTAACTTTGTTCATGAGCAGCTCCAATGCACTTGAATGGTAGAGCATGAGTGCTTTCTTCCTCATCACTTTCAACTTCTTCACTTTCTTCTTCACTGTCCTCATTACTAATTTGCCCATTGACAGTTTCATTTCTTTTACTTTGTTCATCCCCATTCTCCTCTCCAGCATTTTCTAGTTCAGCCAAATGCTCAAGTAGATCTCTTTCTATAAAGCAAAACAAAAAAATGCCCGTCTAATACTGTAATGTCTATAAATAAAAACTCACTAGTAATTTCTAAAAATAGAATTGAACGACTATGAGATTAATTTTTACTTTAAGCATGAAACCATTAACAAAGCATGTGTAAAGAAAACATTCGTAAACAGAAATGAACTATCAAAACTTTATACAGTAACTATACCTTCAGATTCATCAGAGAACCAATGATGATCATCAATGTCTCTATTTTTTGTTCTTTCATGACCAAAATCGTTTTCGTTACTTTCACTTGGTTCTTGAGAGGCTTGAGAGCTCCCTGATTCAGATGTGTTATCTAAAGGAGGTAGAAGTACTTTCTGAGTGGGATAAAAGTTTGAACAATTGCAACTTACTGCGTTGATATTAAGCAACGGAGTTTCTTCGATGTCATCAAAATCAGGAGTAACCGCATCCACAGCCCTCGTATTTTCTGTCAATACACGATCCACATCAAAATCCCAAATTAAAAGCATTCTCTCCGCTTTACAATGAATAAATTCATCAGGGATAGTACCAAACTAAAAAAAAGTTTCAGTTAAATTTTAATACACAAATCAAGCCTTAAAAGTTATTAAAAAATTAAAAAATGAGGTGTTGACAAGTACTTTATACTAACCTCAAATATAGTACTTGCTTTAACGTTGATGACACAAGGAGATTTAAGGCCATTCAACTTCGAAAGCAGTGTTTCGGTGTTTGGTATAATGCAAAGTCTTCTTTCAGACGGAGTATTATGAAAGGCGAAATGGCAGCAAAGCCCATGCAGCTTAAAAAACGGTAAACTCGGTACAGTAAATGATAAGTCGTAATGCGGATCGCAACAATACATATACATCATAGTATTTTGCAGCTTGAAAATCCTGTCTTTCGAAAGCATCCATTTTTCCTATACTCGCAGAGCTCTTCGCATCACGACAGTCAAAACGTCAAATGAAGCGTTCGCATAATTGAGCGCTCAATACCCATCATGCTTTGCGGCCTGCTGTCCAACCTCCTCTGGTTGGTTTAATATGTTGTACTTTTTTTCTTATTCGCCATATTTTTACGAAATATTTGCGGTTTTGTGAAGGTGTTTGAGTCAACTGCCGTGTGTTTTTAGCTTATTTGGCGTAAGAGTTGCCTACCTTGTCATAACATAAGACTGTTCAGACAACATGAGCGTCGCGCGAGGTCAGCGAGATTAGCGAGCGAGATCAGTTCTGGGCCGCCTATGGACAGACGAACACGATATTTTACTCTGCTGTGAACTCCGAAATATAGAACCTTACCAATACAAACCTGGTACTCGAGAAAGTGGCAGTGCATGGGATCGAATTGCCAACAACTTAAATTCGTTAGCCAGATCAAAGTTCAGCGTTAGTAAAAGGTCAGTTCGCGATAGATACAATGTGCTAAGGCCTAAGAGGAAACTTTGTGAGAAGAATGTCAGCAGAAGGGAAAAGCTCTGGTATAGACGTTGAAGAAAACGAACTTGATCAGTTGCTTGATGAGATTTGTGCCTGTGCAAAGGAATATGAACAGCGCATGAATGCAGAAAGTGAAGCAGATTTTGCTCGCAAAAAAGAAGATCAAGTTACAGCTGAAGTAATGAGACGTCAATCGATGGAAACTTACAGTGAGAGTGCCAAAAGAAAAACTGACGACGAAGGAAAACCGAAAAAGAAGTCTCGACAAGCAGGAAATCAAACTGTCACTTATCTTCGAGAAAAGCTAGACAGGGAAACTGAAATACGAAATAAGGAAGTGGAACTGAGACATGCTGAACTGGACGAAGAAAAATGTAAGCGAGAAGCAGTGGAACAACAACAAATCAGGATGGCTGAACAGCAAACAGACGTTTTAAAAGCATTTCATGTTCAAATGGAAAGACAAGTGCAGCAACAGGAAAGCCAGCAACAAATTGCTCAGGTGATTATTCAGTCACAACAGCAGCAAACAGCTGCATTGATGGCTTTAATTGAGAAAATTAGCAAAAACTAACAAGCAAATACCTTGCTTAGTTTATATGTTTACAGTGTACATTACCACTAATAGTTGAGTTAACTGTGTTTATTGTGCATATTAACACTAATAGTTGAGTTTACATGTTTACAGTGTACATTGACACTAAAAGCATATTAACACTAAGAGTTGATGTATATTCTTATTTTTTATAAAGCATGCTGTATTATATGAATAAGATTTGGCAGATATTTATGTACTTGCCATTGGAAGCATTTACCTCCAGCCAATTAGCTGGTGTGGGAATCACTATAATGCAAAAAAGACTACCTGTGAGGAAAAGAAAAATGTGTGAAGCCCCTTACTAAAAAATGGTGTACATTTAAGTATGTTAGAAAATGAATTAAGCCCTATATATAATGCATTAAATAATTAATCTACTTCCTTTTATGATATACCTCCCAAGGTTGAAATGAGATTTTTTGATGCATCTATGTAATATAAAATTATAATGTAAACCAGAACATCCTTTATTTTACATTCTTTGAAAATATTGTTCAAGTGTTGGTGGTTGAATATTAAAATATTTTGATACATTGTTTTCATATAAGCAAGTATGTGAATTTTGAATGAGTGCACAGGTAATGTACATTTTTCCAACAGCACTAAGGCCGACTTTAAGATTTTTTTTAAAGTCAAGGAACTTAAAGTAGTTTATGATGTCACCAAAGACCCACTCTACAACAATCCGAACTTGACTCATGGACTTGTTGAACTGTTTTTCATGTGGAGTTAATCCAGCCCCCTTAAATGGTCCTTGCAGATGTACTCGAAGGGGGTAGGCAGGATCACCATAAATACATAGTGGGTTACCATTAGGATTAAAAGAATGTACTCCTAGTTTTTGTAGGAGGCCAGATAATGCAAGCATCCCACTGTCATGTCTTTTCCCTTGAAATGGTTCAAATAAATTTGCTATCATCCCATTAGGTGTCACAACACTCTGAAACTTTATGGAGGTTACCCTTTTGTGGCCATTATAGAGTGATCTTTGATTTTGGCGAGGTCTACATACTGGGCGAACTGTGCCATCAACTAAACCCCAACAATTTCACAGTGCTGCCCTTTTGAGTGAATTACAGCAGCAAAGTTTTGTAAAGATCCCCTCGATAGCCAAGGTTGATCTAAATCTTCCAGCAAAGTATGATGTTCATTGTATACGTGATTCATGATAAGATGTGATATAAGGCATATTTGAGGTATAGCACGAGCAAATCTTGGAACGAGGTCAGAATAACGACATGGATAAGCAAAACGTTTGAGGTAAACTCAAAACGCTTCAATTCCGGAGACTTTTAATCCGTTCGGGCAAATTACTTTAGCTGGTATCGCAAGTACATTCGCAAGTCGGTAAATATCGTTTTTGAAAAATCTAAATTCAGTCTTACATTCATTGTCTGTCATTTCCTCTAAATCAAACGGTGGGTATGACCAGTACGGGATTTCTGGGTTTTTTGATTTGTTCAAGTCGAAAAGCAGCTATAATTCTTCATCGTCAATAATGTTTTCTCCATGCGAAAGCAATAGTAAACTTCTTGTCTCTCTATAGGAGGCCATTTCCGATGAACTTTTGAGTTTTCATATTCCCGCCAAATGCATGTTGCACGAAAGCCGTCGTGTCATGCAAAGTCGTGTATTTCTAAAGTATGCAATTAAAGCAGACGAACGGCCATCTCGTCCCAGTCTATCGCGCGGTAAACGCCGTTGTACGTGAGAGCCGTCATGATTTCTAAAGGTCGCTATTGTAATCGTTTTCACTTAAGTTGATTGCACCAGAGATTTCGCCAGCGTGCTCGCTAGTTCGTTCAATTTCCTTTCTGGCTATCTGATATCGAGAGGGGCATTCTTAGTACGCATTATACACTGTCTATGACGGAGTTCTCGTGTTCAGATGCTGGCTAGGGCATTGGCCGTAGGTCCTTATTTTATTTATGCATGCATGCACGCTTGTAACCTAGTTGGTCTTTAACTTAATTGATTTGTGCGTCGCGTCTTTTTCGCGCCTTTTCGCGTCCTTTTCGCGCCTTTTTTCGCGGCTCTGATATGCAAGTTATAATTAATAAGTATGTGTACTATGAATACTCAGGCAAATTTGTTTCGAGAACACCGTATTCGGCAAAAAATATAAAAGCATATATATATATATATAATATATATATATATATATAATATATATAATATATATATATATTATATAATATATATAATATAAATATATATAGTATATATATATTATATATAATATATAATATTTATACATAATATATATTATATAAATTATATATATATAATATATAATATAAAATAATATATAATATATATATATAATATATAATATATATAATATATATATTATAAATATATAATATATATATTATATGTATGTATGTATGTACCTTATTTAGACGCTAGCCTTATCAACAAAAGTTGGTTTCCATAAGGGGCGTCCATAACACAATAGAACATTTACAAAGAGATAATAAATATCTACATAGCTATTTACAAAAGAAAATATATAAGAAAGAAAATAGATTAAGTTGGTGTGATCCGGCCGTATGCTAAGATCTATACATGATTGAATCTTAATTCTATTAACAATTCATTTGCTTTACAATATTTTTGAAAGAATAAATAGATTGCGCTTCCTTAGCTTCTTGCGAAAGATTATTCCAAAGTTTAGCCCCAATGTACTTAAAACTTTTTTTCAGAAATTCGCGTCTCGGTTTTGGAAGAGCCAAATCAATGTGACAGTTTCTGAGGTCATAATTATTTTGCAAAAGATTCCTCCTGATGAATAATTCTTTCAAATTAGGTGCGGTATAATCATTCAAAATTTATATAATAAGGATGCCTTGGTCATATTTCGTCTGGAATCTAAATTTCCCAGTCAAGTGCCCGAAGAATATCTGCAGACCTAATTTCATAGCTAGCACCAGCTATTATTCGAGCTGCTCGATTTTGAAATTTTTGCAGCTTATCATTCAATGTTTTGTTGCAGGTATCCCAAAGGGGAGAGCAATAATCGAAATAGGGTTGTATCAAAGCTTATAAATCGATTGCAACATGTTTTCAGGAACATAGGGCTTGACGCGTTTTAACGTTCCTATACCTGCCCAACTTTTTTGCAAATCGTTTCAATGTGTTCTTCCCAATTTAATGTTTCGTCAAGGGTAACGCCCAGACAAGAGATTGAATATACTCTGGGAATAGGTTTGCTATTTAGCATTACAGGAATATCATCATTGATCTTAAGAAGATTATGCTTTGATCCAACGTACATAAATTTAGTTTTGGTTGAATGGTGCTGTAATTTGTTACTTTTTAGCCACTGGCTGATTTTATTCAAATCGCCATTTAACTTGGAGATAAGTTCTGCTGAATCCTTTGCTGTTGAAAACATCTGCGTATCGTCAGCATATAAGCATGGGGTGGTGTTATCAAGACAATCTGGGAGATCGTTAATGTAAAGTAAAAACAATAATGGTCCTAAGATGGATCCCTGAGGAACCCCACAGACTATCTTTTTTGGCGTTGATATCGTGCCGTTGACAAAACATACTTGTTCCCTATCAGAAATAAGATTCAAACCACTTCAATTCAATATTTGAAACTCCAAATTGTTCTTTCATTTTGTGCAATAAGATATTATGATTAATTGAATCAAAAGCTTTCCTAATATCAAGAAAAACTACACCATTCAAGTCGCCATTATCTATATTTTCGTACCATGCTTCACACATTTGAATAAGTGCAGTCAAAGTCGAATTCTTTGGGCGGAATCCAGATTGATACATAGAAAGCAAAGAGTTCTCACTCAAAAATTCATACAATTGGTTGAAAACAGAACGCTCAAAAATTTTGCTAATAATTGGTAAAATTG